AGAATTGAAATGCTCATAACAGGTTGGTTGGTGCCTCTGCCTTTAAGATTAACCTTTGTCTTGAGGGGCAGAAGGGGAAAAGAAGACAGGAACACCAGGCTGGGAGGAGAGCAAGCGGGGCAGAGACACCTGGAGTCAGCTAATGGGGCTCTAAACCGAGGCCAGCCCTCAGCCTTAACCCGTAAACAGGACAGGTGGCTGGTTAAGATACATAAAAAAAAAAATCCGCAGTTCCCAAAAATCATGCAGCAGGACAGTGAACTGGGTCGCTTCTGAGATACCTACCTGGCAGCAGCCCCCCGGCTCAGCTGCTCTACACAAGGCAGAAGCAGCTGAGCTGCCAGGCATCCCTCTCTCATGCAGCAGAGCTCTGCAGGTGGCTGGACAGAAACAGAGCATGAGGAAGCGGGCCCGGGAAGTGGGCTGGCCGGTCTGTGTGCTGAGGGGCTCTGCCTCTGGAATGGTCTACCTGGGAGCTGGGCTGGAGCTGGGTGGTGGGTTTTTAGATTCCCATCACCCGCTGTTTAGTGCTGCTATTTTTCATGTCTGTGGTCACTGTCTAAAGCTTTCAGGAAGGGCTGATGTACAGACAGGAACACCCTGCAGACGAGGCCAGCGGGTGCTCGTGAGCAAGGCCCCTCTGGGCCGAGTGAGGCGCGGGGTGGAGAAATGGCGTTCTGCTGCGGTTAGGCTAGTCCCTGATTAGTCACGTCCACGGGAGGGGCTCCTCAGTGAGTGTGTCCACTCTTTGACAGAGTGGTGGGAGGTGGTGATGGCGTCTTCGTCCCAGCCAGGCCAGGCTGCTGGCGTGGTGGGGCAGTCGCATCAGGAAGAAGAAGAGCTCCTGAACAGGGCCAGCGATCCCTCCACCACCCCTTGACCTGGGGCAGGAGACCGGCCAACAACAGGCCAGACCCAGTTGGACAGCGCCGGACCCTTCCCCTCTTCCTTGCCAGAAAGCAGCATGGTGGGGGAAAAGGAAGGAAGGTGGGCGCAAATTCTCGACCCCCAACCCCCCCGCATGGTTGGCAGCTTGGGCTCAGCAGCGTCCTTGCTGGACCTCCAGACCACCCTGCCGTCCTGACAACCGGATACCTCCCTGGGAACAAACTGCTCCTCCCGGAAAATCTTTCTTTTTGTGCATGGGCTCACACAGTACACAAAGCGGCTTCCTGGGCTGTCTGCCGGTAATAAAATCGGTGGCAATGAATAAAGGCTGAAAAAAAGCACTGGGCGGGTCTCACACCCACCCTCTCTGTAACAGGTGCACCAGGCATGACCAGGTCCTCCCAGTCTCATGCCCTCGCCCAGCAGGACACCTGCACCCGGGAAGTTGCTTACTACACAGACAGGAGGGCGTGGGAATCCTGTCAGCTGGCCCGCAGTCTGCTGTGCCCTCCCTCTGCCCTACAGCACCCCCCCAACAGGGCCTGGGGTGGACTCAGAGATACTATTAAATAGAAAAGCCTCCATTTGTTTTATTACGAGAAAGGCTGCTGTGCAGAAAAGAGCTGAGACCAGATGGCACAAGGGCTGCACTGGAGGAGCAGTTCAGGAAGGAGAGGCTGGTGTGGGGGGGTCAGAATTTCAGAATCCACCTCGGACAGGCGTGGTCCCTCAGGGCTCTGAGCGTGTGACTTCTAAGAGCCACAGGCAGAAAAAAATGTGTTGCATTAAATAAAACTTATGGAGAATAGTTTCACCTGTTTTTAAAAGTGGGGTGCTAGGAAGCGTGAAGGCCGCGATGGAGACTCCACGCCTACACACTGCCATGTGATGGAGAATCTGCCTGCTCAGCGGTTTTGGTGCAAGAAGGGGTGAGGAGGAGGAGGGAAGAGTGCAGTAGTGTTGGCGTCTGCTCCCCAAAGCCTTGCGGAAACCTAAGCCAAAGCGGCATTGGGGAGGTAGGACCTTAGAAGAGCTGGGGGGGTCGCGAGGCAGGGCCTGCTCCTCCCCTTGGGCGTGAGGCCCGTGGGGAAGTGTGTGACCTCGAGAGCCCCCCACCCCTCGAGCCACACCGACCTCAGTGGCCGGGCACCTGTGAGCAGTCAGAGCAGTCACTCTGACCACTTCCAGCCTGTGATGCTGGCACGGAGGCCCAGCGACTAGACAGGAGGAGAGAGGTCAAGTGACCCCGTGCCTGTAGGCGGAGACCTGCCTGCTCTCTGCAGCTGCAGAACCACCCCTGAGGTGTGCTTGGTCACTCTCGTGTCCTGAGGGCTGGCCAGAGCATGGCAAGGCGGGGTGCCTCCAGCCAACTCCCGGAAACAGGCGGGACCTCAGGCCCAGGGGTGAGGCTGAGGGAGTCACCTTGGATCTTGACCCTGGTCTCACTCAGGGTCAGGCGTGCACCATCCTTCTCCCATGCCTTGAAGTGTTAAGTTGTCTGGGGACCAGGCCAGGCAGACAGCGATCTTTGCATGGTGTCCATAAAGACGTTGTTCTCCTAGTGGCAGGGGTGAGAACAGAAGGTGGTAGTCAGGGGTTCAGGCCAGGTGGCATGTCACCTGGCCAGCCCTGTGGTGACAATGAGAAATTCGACTTCAGAGGCTTTCTCTGCCAGGCACCCGTGCCACGTCTCACGGACGCCCTCAGAAGAACCAGTTGCCCGCTGCTCCTAAGTGGAGGAAACTGAGGCCCAGGAAGGCCCCAACATCGAGCAGCCTGCTCCCTGGGCCCCCACCATCCCTGGCACTTGTCTGGAAGCGTAGATGTGGCAGTCACACTAGACGGGCCAGCAAGGGACAGGAATTTACCTGCCCGAGAAACAGCCCCCCAGGCTCAAGGGGTCCCGCTCCCGTGCAGAGCCTTGGCACTCAGTGAAGTGAATGTCTCAGGGCAGAGGAGGCTGGCCTGCCTCTCCCTCACACTCTCTACCCTGGAGCCCAGGCTGGGGCAGGGGCCAGGACAGGCTGTGAGCTGGGCAGAGATAGTAGCTGATGCTTTAAGATGCTTTTCCTAGGCATTCCGTTTTCTTATTCCTAGAGGGTCTGGAGCCAGTGGTGATTTTCTTTCCCAAGTATTGCTGGTCCGTGCACTGCTGGTCCCATCCGAGGACGCTTACTTAGCAAGCGGTGAACCAGACCTGGGTGGTATACAGACAGATCATTTACATAAGTCAGGGAACGTGAGTGAGGGGCCAGAAAATCTGGGAGGCGGGGTGTTGGCTCCGTGGAGTCAGGCGTGTACCTGACTCTATATACCTGCATTTATACACCAGGTCAAGAAGTGGCCTTACAGAACATAAACTAAAAGGAGACTCCCCTCTAGTTAATGACCACATAAACTTCAAGTATTCTGGGAAACATCTGGCTGTCTGTAGGTTTACACTTAAAGCACCCAAGATGAAAATGACTGGATGGATGAGGGGACACAGTGAGACGTGTGGCAGACCTAGATGGTAGTGCCAGCCTCTGCTGTATTTAGCCCATCCCTAAGTCTGGGGCTGGCACACTGAAGGGCCCAGGGACTGAACCCCCAGCCAATGCCCCTGCTGGCCACAGACAGCCAGCGACAGAATCCTATTTCAGGCTCAGTCCGTCTGTGAACCAGAGGCTGAGAACAGCTCTGAGCCGAGTTCTCCCACGATGAATGCTCCTGCCTTGGCTGCTGTGGCTGCTCCTCCCAGGCCCAGGCACCTCTACCCTCGCCGAACTGCAGCTTCCTACCCACCGCCTCCCCCTCCCACGCCTACCCCACATGAACAGTTCTGCAGGATGATCAGTATCCCAGACTTTAAATGGCAGTGGGGAGACTCCCAGAGGAAAATCAGTCTCAGCCCTTTGACCTTGGCAAAAGAAGTCCCTGAGACCAGTAAGTCCCTTAGCCAGAGCAATCAGGCTGACCCGTCCGGTCTCTTCCCCAGCACGGCCTCGCCCGGTTCCGGGCCCTTCTAGCCTTCTGCCTCGTCAACCAGCCTATCTGGACGACAGTTGTATCATCCTAACCCCTCCGTCCTCAGCTCCTGAGAACACAGTGCGTGGTTTTAGAACATCCATGGCTCCCACTGCATGCTCACCGCACACGCCCGACGCGGGACAGAGCCAGCAGCGACCATCCCCACCCGGTAACCATCGGCGGCTGAAGACCGGTAACCGCACTTTGCTGGCGTCACCTGCAGTGAGAGCGCCATCGTTAAGGTGCTCCACATCGGTCCTTGACGCCTCCAGGAGCCCTCCGTCCTTCAGCGTGGTGCCGGGATGGAGTACAAACGGATATTCCCATCCTGCTGGATGGAAATGACGCGCTTCAGTTGTGTGCTACCCGAGGTGCCACTGAGCATCTCACGCGCACCAGCGCACACACACACCTGCATCCCCGGCACCTCTAAAACCTCTCAAGCGGTTTCCCAGGGCTCGCTCAGCATTGGGAAGGTGCTGGGAGAATCAATTGAAATGCCAGGATGCTAGGCGCCCCCCAATTCAGTTCTGTGTTTGGGGTGCTTCAGGTTCTGCTTTTTCGTAAAATCTTCAGTAAGTTCTAACACAGGTATTACAGGCCGACTCTGGAATATACACGTGGCACTCCAGTGAGGCCGTTGGTCTAGCTCTGTCCCTCTGGCCTGCATCCCCTGCTGCTCTGTCTCTGCCCTGCTTCCTTCAGTACCAACTCACTTTCAGCCAGGCCCCGCTCTGTCCAGCCTGCTGTTGCCTGGGATGTCCTGGCGGCTGCCCTGGGAGGCAGATGGAGGCCAACCCCACCTCGGGGCAGCTTCGAGGCTGTCAGTGTGGCACAAACAATCTCAGGTCTCTCCTAGCTGCAGCCTCCTCTGCCTCTAGCATGGAACAGCCCGTCCAGACCCACAGATTTCCTGAGCATGGGGTCCTGGAGCTCACGCAGCAAGCCCATCCGATCCTCATGCGGCGGGGAGGTCACCAGAGCTCCGTCTAGGTATTTTACTGCCCACGAGGAACACATTCCAACGAAGGAAAAGCCTATGCAGATGGCACATGAAGCATCCTGGGAGGCCCACACGTGTCCACTACTGGGCCGCGGCTCACGATGGGACAGCTACCTGCTGCAAAGGTCATCAAATAAACCAGGCCAGCTAGTGTGTGTGTGAGACCCGTAGAAACTCGACCCTGTTATCCCATTATGTCTGTGCCATCTTGGCGATTCATGAGCCAGGAGTAGTGTAGAATGGAAGCTGGGCCTGGAGTACCAGGGACGATGAAACTAGCCATCTTTCTTTCAAGAAACAGTAAGATCGCGCAGGGGCACAGTAGTACTGACCCCTTGCAGAGAGAACACAGGTTCAAATGCCCCGTCTGCCCTGTGACCTCCCTACCCCAGGATGGCCATCTGGCCATGGGCTCCTCCCTAAAAAAGATTGAAACCTGTTTCTCAGGAGAACCACCAGGGACAGCATCTGGAAGGAGGAATGGGGGGCCAGGCCTAGGAAAAGACCACTGGGACTGCAGAGTCCATGGGCAGCCCAGGGGCAGTGGCTCTGGAGCCAGTGGGAGTCCCTTCAGGGCTGTGGCCCAGGAAGTCCAGCCTGGCTGCCTGGGCTGAGATGCAGTGCGCCCTGTGGAGGGCAGCCACCTCTCAGCACCCGTGCTGCTGCAGGGTCAGGCCAGCAGGACAAGTGGAGTGGCCCAGCGGAGCTGGTACCTGAGCCAGAGTGCAAACCACGCCCTCAGGCCACTTTTTTTTTTTCAGTGCAGAAATTAAAAGTAAGTATAAAGCACGGTGATCTGTAGTTCTTTTGCGTGTGTCGGAAATTGCTGGTAAATGTTGGCCGAGAGCAATCGCTCCCTTTGCACTTGTGAAAACACTTTGAGCGCTTTAAGAGATAAGACCAAGAAGTGATTAAATGTCTTTCTCTTCACTGTGCATTGCTGACTCTGTGTGGTGGGGGGCCCGTGGGGGTGGGGACGG